TAAAACTTGAATGTTGGCCTCACTCCATAATAAAACATATTTTCGTATGTCTTTTTAGCAAACTGCGGTGTGAGATGAGCTACATTTTGCAAACCTAGACATCTCCTAGAAATTATGTTTGCAATTTGGGTCCAGATCCATCTTAAAATGGGACCTGTTTTCTTCCATAGCACATCTGCTGCAGAGGGTACATTTCTCTGTCATTTAAATTCCTTATCTGAAAAGACCAGGAATTATTTGAATTCAGTGAGAGGAAATGACTTCAAAAAAAACTTTGTAGCTGCTTAAGAAAGAACCACAAGGCACACAAACATGGGAACAACCAGAACTGGAGAAAGGAGAATAACACCCATGATTATTCAACTGAGGAAGTTTCTAGATAAGTAAAATCCAAAAAGGAAAAAAAACCGCAACATCCAACAGCCATGAGATTAAGTTGAACCAGTCTGAAGAATATCAGGTAACATTTTATTTTGCTCTTCCTTCACAGGGATGAGGAAGAAGAAATCAGAAAAAATAGTGCTCACAAACTGCTTTACTTTTTTTTTTTTTTCACTGTGAGATAATTTACTTTAAATATCAAGGGTCAGACAGTATAAAAGGATTAGGCTGGTTATTTACAGGGTGACTTGGATTTACAGTGTCCAGCCTCTGTGCCAGCCACAGTACCCTGCTAAAGGTGAGCATTGCTTTGGGAAAAACAGGGAAGTCCTGCATTGACTCACAGTGAGCAGCAGCCCTGTGTAGCCAGAGCAGCTCACTGCTCATCCCTTGTCTCTCTTGCAGGGTTTATCTCAACTGGTGATCATGCAAGAACTGCACATGACCTTGCCTGTGATGTAATTTCACCTCAGAAGCAAGTCAGAAACACCCTCACCTTTTTTCCTGTTGAGGATCAACCCTCAGCAGTCATAATCCATTCCTCCCAAAGCAGGATCTCCTAAAGATGCCTGAGATGGCAGGGAGAGCTCTTGCAGGAGGTTCCCAGCATACCACACGTTGCAGGGGATTTCCCCAGTTGCCAAGGAGGGCAGGGCTGCCAAGGGTTTGGGAGGAGGAGGATTCATTTAGGAGCTAGTTTTAGGTCATTGGTCCCAATAAACATTTGCTTGGCATGAGTCCCTGTTGTAAGGAATGTGAAAAACTAAGATGCCAGGGCAGTGAGCGGGAAAGGGAATAAATCATCCAGGTCAGAAGATACAGAACACCACTGCCAGCCTGGTTCCTAGTTTTCCCAGTGAGGTGGGTAGCCAGATGTAAGTATGGCACACAATGGCCATTTTATGTCATACATTAACCAGCAAAGTAAAGAAAAACAGGGCCTGAAAGGGTCTGTGCAAAGAGGTCTCATGCAGAAGAAGTGAGGGGAAAGGAGGAAAGGGCAGGAAAACTTGTTGGAAAAATAAGGGTTGAGGTACAAAATACACAAAGGCAGCCCCACAATGCCCCATTGCCTGAAGGAACAGACACCTTCAGTACTGCCAGCAACAAACATTCAGCAGTGTGAAGAACACCAGGTTACATTTCTGTGTGTGTGGGAGGGCAGCATTTGGGATTCTTTTTGGATTGGAGGACATAGCGCTCCATCAGCTATGAACAGAGGGTGCTTCTCAGCGAGACTCTTGATTTCTCAGAGCTGGGAGTATTGCAGTAAGTTAGTAATCTAAAAATACATTTGGTAGCTCCATGAGAGAATTGAAGTGTGTTTTTATTGCCATGACAGAACTGTGAATATTCACACCTGTAGAGAATAAATACACAGAGCAAATCTGCAAACAAACCAAATGACTTTCACCTGCAGCATTTTCTTCCTTCATCGTGTCTTAGCAGGATGTCTTAGTCCAGCAGTTCTCATGCTCACATGCATATTGCCTGCTCTGAAGCCCACATACATCCATGCCTTCAGGAAGCAATCCAAACAGCTGAGAATGACCAGGATTTTTTTACAAGTCTCAGTTGACACCTAAGCCTGGTCACCACCATTCCTGTCACAGACTCCATCCCTTCCTCACCCTTTCCCTGGCACCTCAGGTAATTTCAGAGGCTGGAATAAACCTTGAGAAGCACAGATTTTTCTGATTTTTCAGCAGGATTTTTCATGACCCTGATCAACATCATTCTGTCATCAGTCTAATCCTCTCCTTCCCCCTTAGTTCAGGCAGATAAACCTGACTTTTTCTGGATGCACGGTGGCATGTTTGGAACTTCTGCACAGATCCACCATTGCCTGGTTCACTTGGTCACAGCTTTTATTTTTTTAGTACACAAATCCTAAAGTGCAATGGGAGGGAAAGGCTTAAGAAGCCGAAAGCAAATTTGAAGAGCCCAAACTGAATTGACTTTAGCTGCCATTTATATAATAGGTCAATGGTATCATTTGCAACTGGTTGGAGCAGTTAATACTGCAATAGTCTATTTAAAGTATTGCCAGTTTCTCTTCTCCTTCAAAATCCTGCAGCATTTTCCTCTATATTAAATGTGATGCTTTAATCACAACACGTTTAGATGGAGCAGAAAGGTCTGAAGCAAAAGACCAGAGGAGGAAAATAATATTTGATCTGACCTGCTTCTGTGGTCCTACAGTTTTCTCCAGGCAGAATGTCCAGTGACATCCATATTCAGGATGCCTTACTAGCCTCTGGAAGGTCCCATACCCAGTTGTTTCACCCATTTGCAGAGCTGCTTGAGTTTCAGAAAACACTCAAGCAAGAGGCCCTTATGCAGGAGGGTAGCTATCCACAACCAAGAGTTATTGGAGGTGTTCAGCTGAGAAAGACAGAGTCTCTGTGCCTGCTGTGTCCTTCCTGCTCCATTTTTCTCCTCTCTGCTGTTGCAGTTGGCAGGAATTTGCAGTTTCTGGCAAGTAGCAGAGGGCCTAGTCTTTGCCATTGCTCCCTAACTTTGGCAGATGCTGATTCTCTTTAGATTTCTTTACATTTAGGTTTTGCTGTAGCTCTCGGCAGCATAAACACAAAAACACCCAAACCTACTGATGCCTTGTGAAGGCTGACCTAGAAGAGAGGCTAGATGGAGTTAAAGAATAAAGTAGGTATTTATTAAAAGGCCTCAATGGATGCACCTTGGGCAGTACAAGAACCCAGCCAGGGCTACACCCAAAATGAACCAAAATGGTCACAAAAATGGACAACTGGTCATGGGGTCTCTCACTTTTATAAGTTCTGATCCATTTGCATATTGGAGTTAATTGTCCAACTATAGCTTTAGGTTATGAAGTCCCATTTTTCTTGTTTTTCTCTCTTCAGTCCACTGTAGTTTATGCTCTTGGGCCTGAAATTTGGATCAGTGGTCCTTGGTCCCAAGCTAGAAAAGAATTGTTTTGTCTAGCTATTCTGTGAAGAGAGCTTACCATCCCTTAATATGAAGTTCAGAACTACACACTAAAGCAGTACAGAATCTGAAAAATACGAAAGCTAAAACCTAAGACATCACTACCACCATCACTACTCTCCCTCACCCCCTAGAAAACCAAACCTTAACCACTGACATAAATGGTCGGCATGGTCAATCCATTACTCAAGTCTCACAACAGAAGTGCTGAAGACTAATTTCCTTGTGGAATTTCTCAGAGTCCAGGGTCTCCAAGACCGTCACCACACCACTGAACCAGGGGAGTGGCTGATCCGTGAGGATTGACAGTTCTGAAGACACAGTCATACAGAAAGCTCCTTCTGTCTTGCAGGGACCCAACCTTTCTTCCTCGTCTCTTCACCCTTATATGTGCCTCCTCCTCTCCCTCAGCACTCTGGCAAGGAATTATTTGGCTGCTGAGTTTCTGTAGCATGCTGCATCTTGGTGCTTTAGCAAGATCTCTGTTACAGGATGTTACAGCCTGTCATTGTCCTGCCCCACATGTCCCAGACACAGACCTTCATTATTTCCCTTCCCAAAGATACAATCTTGAACAAGAGAAAAAATTCACTTCCATTTCTTTTTAATTAGTATTTTGGTGAATATACAAAAACAAAGAATCAAGGCAGATGGCAAGCATCAGGACATGAACCAGTACATCTTTGGAAGTGGCTTCACCCTAAAACACTCTACAGATGAGCACATTTCTCACAATACATTTAACTACTGAAGCATTCACTAGGAAAGACACCAGCTCAGTCTGGGCCAAAGTAAACAGCCTTTATTGAACTGAGTGGAAACTGCCAGTGCTGATGCAAGGACTGGGTTTGGTTCAGCTAGCTCCTCCCTTGCATTTTTTCTCAAGAGTTACTCACTGCCATTATTTGCCATTTGTCCTACCTGATCCAGGGATGTGGAAGGGGAATGACACAGGGAGTGTGACCATTTACACACAGGTAGCTAAGGCAAGAAGCACAATAAACTAGGAGCATGGAACAGCCACATTTGCAAAGGCAACTACAGCAAAAACCCCCCTGTGTTCTGCACAAATTCTAGCCCCTAGATGTATGAAATCTTGTGCAAAATAGATAACAGCTTTTTTGAAGGAGTTGCTTGTTAGCAGGTGGAGCTTTTCCTGGACTGGCACTTCTGAAGGTAGGAGCCCATGCAGTAGTTTCATCAGTGGCAGGAGGTAGGCTTGCATATAGGCAGCATACTGCTGAGGAACAAGCTAGCCTTTTACTGGGCTTGACTAGCAACAGACTGTCTATCTGTGACATGTTTTTATTGCTGACACACTTACATGCTCAAAGAATTTGCCTTAGAATAAGGCAAGGGTGACAGAGACCAGCAAGAGAAGTTGATCAGTAGAATATAACAGAGATATCTGCAGTCTTTTCCCTTGCAGCATCTGTCCTTATTGGTCACAGGAGGTTACAGTTTTGCTCCCATACCCCTTGCTGGAGTGTTATAATTTACATTCAAACTAATTTTAGAGCGACATTTTTCTGGACCAATGTAAATAGACATTTTCTTCTCTGATGTCATCAGAGAACAAAGCAGATCACTTTTTTTCCCCTCCTCTTATGCTCCAGGATTTCTTGCACAGTGAAAGAAGGATTGTGCTTCAGGCAGGAGACATTAAGGCTGCAGAACAAGGGGCAAAGCAGGGATAAGAAGATTCTTTCCTGCAGTCATCAGTTCTTTGTGTCAAGTTTTTGGAGGGGTAAAAGTATATACGGGAGAGGTAGTGGGAAAACTTCAAATCCTCCATGGCCTGAAGAGAATGGAGTGGGAGACAAACAAATGCAGTTTCACATGGCTCTTCAGGACAGCACTGAGGACACCAGGCCTTCAGTATTCAATTCCACTCCAGTAGAACATGGTGCCAAGGAGGACACAGAACTGAAACGACAACACTATTAAGTTTCTCTGCCCCCCATTTCCTGCTCTCCATACCTCCTCCAGCCCCATTTAGTCCTACTGGTAGGAGAGAGTAAAAGAAATTCTCAAAAAATCAAAGCCCGTTCAGGCAGAGGATCTTAAAGTTTTTTATCTGCACAGAAGCTACACAGTTAAGAAAGAAGATACATGCAGCTGTAACTATTTGACTATCACTCTGCTCACTGGGGATTGTCATGAAGCTGCTAAGGCCTGAGTACTGAATACATTCATACAAAATCTTCAAACTACAAGCTCAATTATCTATCTTGATGATCCAATACCCTTCACAAAAAAGCATCTGCAAGCTCTGTTTGCTGTGTTGTATTGCTGAGATGGCAGCAGGTAGCAGCAGGCCATGGCAGGCTGGTAGGCCATCTAATTCCTCACCTCTGGACGCCAGAATGAAGGGGAACTTGTAAATGTAGCCCTTAGTGGAGCAGGCTACAGGCAGATTTGTGATGAATGAATGACGATAAACTATGGACATTTTAAATGCGTCAGTCCTGTCATCCACCTCCACCCAGCTGGGTGTGGAATAGCAAGAGAAGAGAAGGGAAGAGGAAATAAAGGCAAATATTAAGTACTTACAGTCCAGCAGAGGATGGCAAAGCCAAACCAGGCAACACCCCAGGCATGTGTGTTCACTGGCCCAGACATAGCATCGTAACAACCCTGAAAGACAACCGGGAATGACTCAACACCAGCAATGACCCTGCTCTGCAAGGTGACAAACTTATCCACCCCTGAGAGAGACTGAGGTGGCATGGTGGCATGCTCCTCTCCTACTGAAATTTGGGTAGCTCAGAGGGTCTCAAAAAACCAAGCTAGAGCTACACTGCTTATTGACAACTTGCAGATAACATACCTGTTTCTGGCTCCAAACACAAAGTAGACCCATCTCACACACTTCAAGGACAACTTGCTGTGCCATCACTTGCCAAGTACACTTAGATAACCAAACACAGTTGACACAGAATTGACCTCCAGAATCAAGAAGTGTCAAGAAAATTTGGAAGCTTGAATGCCTTCTAGAAATGCAAGCTAGTGCAGAAGCTGATGCTCATGACCCAGCAGCCTAGTGAATAGGACATAATGGTCTACTGAAAAGTGGTTCCTTGAGGAGGAGAATTGCTGATTTGCCTACTCATATTGTATACTCTCATATTTGGGCTAAGTTTGATTTAGCTACTGTCCATCCACATGTTAGAGATGTCACTTCTTACCAGTGGCTTGGGAGATTTTTCTCTCCATCAGGAAAGACTTTATCCTAAAAAAAAATTCCTGTCCTGTTCAGCAACATAGCCAGGACTCTACAGGCATTTCTTCTCCTCCAGAAAGCTTCTGAACACCTGTAGCTTACTGTGAAGGAGAAAAGTTTCTTTCCCTTCCAGCAAGGCACTGATGTATGCTAAGTGGAAAAAGCAGAGACGATCTTACATTGCTGTTATAGTAGCCAGACACTCCAAGTTTGCAGCCATCAAGGTTGACAGGGAGCCCTTCTGCATCCAGCACGCAGCATGCCCGTGGCCAGGGGTAGTCGGCGTCGCTGTGCGTGTCGCGGAAGGCAGACGTGTAATTCTGCCAGTCGGAGGGGCCATTCACCCCACAGCAGTGGTTCTGCAGGGACACAGAAGGGAAAGGTCTCTGTGGGCCCAGGTCACAGCCCTGCACATGTCAGCACACTGGTTAGGCATTAATCACAGATTTATGGGGGAGATTTTTGAAGTGCCTGCCTTCGACAGTCTGCCGTCTGATAAACGAGCTAAAGGGGGAGTGTGCCAGAACTTTCTTTAAGGTTCAAGGCAGGTGCTATCCTCTTTATTATCCAGCAGCCCCAAGGAGGACTTGAAATTCCAGGCTTGCAGAGCATTTAGTAATTAGTGATTTTTCAGTATTGTTACCTGACGCATGAGTTCATCCCATGTCTTTGTGACCTCATTGTCACTGTTATTGTTTGGGTCTGACTTCTGATATCTCTCCAGCATTTGCTTCAGGAGGACATTTGGAGTCTGCTACAGAAAAAAAAACAAAACCAAAACAACAGAGAAAAATGCAGAAACTATGTAAATAAGTGGCCATGTAAAGCAAATCCAGGTTTATTTAGGGAGGGTTTGTTTTCTTGTTTCAGAGTCCTGCTGGAGAACAGGAATGTTGCTTCTCCTCTGGTTTTACATATGAGAATAAAGAGCTGGATTTGAGGAGCAGGAGCAACAAAGATGAAGATCTCAAGCAGGCACTACTAGATGTATATCACAAGAGCTGTGCAGAAGCTATGGATTGCATTTGGTATGTTGGAACTAAAGCACCACAAATAATATCCCTCCCCAGAGTATCTCAAATAATCCATGTAATCTTTCCCTCACCAGTAACACTGCTTGGGGCAAAGCTGAAGATTTTCTTCTCTGTGTATGATAGATTAATCAGTCGGTAGCTGAAAGACTAAACACTGTATTGATGATTCAACTGACCCATGCTATTATTTCCTTAACCACAAGGTGTTAAACATTTTAAAATGTTAAAAATAACAGAACTATGTTCAAAACAAAGCTATTTCTTTGATTAGAACAATAATGTTGGAGTTTTTCCTTGTGGGGTTGTCTTCTGCTCAGCAGTAGTCCTGTGAGTTTACACCATATTATCACATTTACTACACTGAACAGGGTGACTGTGTGCCCTAGAACTTGTGTTTCCCAGCAAAGTTAAAAGAATACATGAGAAAAGAAATACTCACTGAGTCTTGGTGAGTTGCTGCTGTGATGCTAGAAGCCATTTCAAATGCAAAAGTGATCAGCATCAGAATGATGTACTGTGGGAGAAAGAGCAGAATTAGTTCTTGGAGAAACTGTTCAGCATTTTTTTCAAGATTAAGCCAGAAACCCTGCTTGATGCAAAGGTGGCCAGGCTATCATATTCCCTCTCACCCAGCCTGAATGTTCTCATAGCCCTTCCCAGCACTTGTTCCAATCTGCAATCTGCTTTCTTGAAGGTGAATGACTGCAATTGTTCTCCATCTCACAGACAAGATTTCATCAGAACCTCATGGCATTAAGACTACCCTGCCTCCACAGAAAATACTTTGTCCTTTTCTTTGTTGTGTTCCATTAGCAACCTATGTTTGTGTCATGTGTCCTCCTTTCACTTCCACTTACCAGCTCTAAGCTTTTCAGCAGGAAGCTGCTCACTCCTAGCAGGAGAGATTGTACTTTGGGGAAAGGGAAGGTGCAGCTTAGGGCATCATTCAGATTGCCCTGATTTTTCATCATCAGATTTCCTGAACACTCCTACATTGTGAGCAAAGATCTTTCATGGAAACAGATTACAAGGGTCACCTCTCATAGTCTCTTTCACTCTTTTGTTTCCCTTTCCAGTATAATTCCTTTGACAGTTTCCATATTTTCTTTGGAGATTTCATGTATCTGCTCTTCGTCCCACATTTTATAATGTTCTTCTCTGATTTAAAGCATTTTTTTCCTACTTACCCCAGCTTCTGTCCCTTGTACCCTCTCATATATCCTAAACCAGAGCCTTGGGTTTCAGCTGAGGCACCAAAATTCAGAGTTAAGGGAATTCTGTTTCCTCAGCTGTTTTCTGGCATATTCCCTGTACAGACAGTCTGCAACCTCACAGTAAGAGAGCTCATTTCAGAGTTTTCATCTCTATCCCTCGTTAATGCAAACACCAATTAAGTTTTGCCACTGCCATACTAAATGACTAAGTAAGATATTGTACAGAGAATGGTCCACATCTTAACATTGTTTTGGCTTTTCCAAAGCTCTGTCCCCTCCCCTGTAATTTCTGCCTGCCTGCTGATGTCTTATGTTCTTCATTGCACCCATATTTGGTATCCTGACACTTACTAATGCCTTGTACAGAAGTCATTACTTATCATCTCCTAAACTGAATAGTGCATGACAGCTGAAAACCAGTAAGGGGTGGGGAGAAACAAGGATCTAAACCACATCCCAGCTATATCTGATTGCACAAGTGCTCCTACATTGCTTCAGGGCAAGGTCAGGGTCAAGCCAGTCAAACCTTCACTGTTACTATCTCCATTTATTCCCTCAGCCTGGTTCAGGAGCTTCTTGGGCATGAGTCTTCACAGGAGTCACTTTCTGGGACACCACAGCTATGACCAAGAAGAACCTTTGGCTCCTTATCAGTATAAAAGCTGTCTTTGCTCATTGGTTGTTTCCCAAGGTGACCAGGGACACTAAGGCAGCGTTTGTTCAGTTTGGCAGCAGTAGGAAAGTAAATTTTGCTACACTTACCACCAACAGCAAGGTCCTGCTGGCCTTGATGACTCCAATGATACCAAGGATAGACAGGGCAAAGAGTGCAAGGCCGACAAAGATGCCAATCCAGGCGGCAGCGTGGATGTCACTGTTTTCTGTGGCTTTCAGCAGAGGGTAGGCACCATGGGGGTTAGACACAACATAGATACACTCTGCTGTCAGGGCAATGCCGCACATCTGGGAGGCACAAGAAACCCATTAGTTCATGGTTCCCCAAAGAAATAGCAAAGACAGAAACAGGTGTAGACTGCTTTCCTTTAATTCAACTTCCTGCCAAGTGGGAGCTACCCAACTCCCTCTGCCCAGCTCTACAATCTCTTGTATTGGGACTTAGAGAAGAATTGCAGGCAAATCTCACCCAGCCTTGATCTGAGAGGTCAGGCCCAGGACTTGAGGATATTAAGAAAGAATGAACAGAACCATTCCATTACTGTATGGAGGGAGGTGGCTGGAAAAATGTTGGTCTGCTCCTGCTGACAGTTCTAAGGCTTTTCCCCTAGCACCCATCTTGGTATTGTGGATTTGTTCCTGCTGTCCCTTTCCCACCCAACTGATCATTAGGACAGCTCTCCTTATCCTCTTCTCTCATGCTTTACTGGACCACGTATGTGTGGATCTCACAAGTGAAGAGGGAGAACTGCTGTTTTAAGAAGTGTCATACTGGAAGGAAGCCTCCACCCATACTTGTTCCACTTCACTTACCCCAATGACCACATTCCCAAAGACTAACAGACCCTGCAAGATGTGCACACAATCATCACTTTTCGCCATCTTTAATTCTTCATGCAACCTAGAAAACAATAAATACAGTCTTCAGTTAAATCACCGGTACAATATGCTTCACTCAGAAATACAAATTATCCATGGGGAGAAGGACAGACAGAACTTGCCAGCCTGTCTGTACACCTCCCATCCCTTGCTTTATAGTAGTTTCAGAGGGGACCTCTCCAGGTGTTAATCTGCTAACTCAAACTCTCCCTGATATTGGAGCTACAGAAGACTGGGACCACTTTGGGGACAGCTGGTGTCTTCAGCTCCCTTTTGATGAGGATTTTCATCCTCACAACAGCACTCACAACAACCTCCGCTCATGGTGTGTCATTTCTGCCTGGCCAGAAACACCAGCTCCATCTGTATGGAGAGGGAACAAGTTCAGCACCCTCACTTCACCCCTATTCCTATCCTGGGCCATTTTGACCAGCACCACCATGGGACTGAACTGGTAACCACGGTGCTCTGGCTGTATCCCACACACACCTTCAGCACAGGGCTTTGCTACGAGCAGCCCCATCTCCCACCCATGCTGGGAATGGGAGCTGAGTGCCCCAAGTCAGGTGTGAGGGAGGAAGAGAAGGAGGGAGGGACAGCTCAGGTTGCAGCTGGCTCATGGGAGCCAGGCCAAGTGGCATTCCCACTGAATTCCTAAGAGTGTTTATATCCTGCAGTCTAGAGTCAGGTGCCCTGCATCAAATTCATCTCCTTCCAGAGAGAGCAGCATAAAGCATCAGTCAGAGGTGTGAGACCTCTTGGAGAAAGAAGCTCAGACACCAGAGCTCACCAAGTTTTTCTTTGAAAGGGATAGAGTATATGTGCATGGAGAGAGTAAGGGGAAAAACCCCTAACCCTGAGACAACTGCATTTACCAGGTGGTTAAGAAAATATAAACCAGGAAAGAAAGGCTGCGGTGAGCCCAGCTTGAGCAAAAGCTGCTTGAACGTCCTTCTTCTGCCTGAGTACCTGCACTTGTGCCTCTCTTTTGCTGGGGCCACTGACTTCCTGGTTCTTCAAAGAAGATGTTGGAATATATAAGCAGACAAAGCTGTCAAGGAAGGGGAGCTTTCTGAGGAACAGAACATTGTGAGATGTCTCTAAAGATACTACCTCCTGGCTCCTTAGCTGCCCTTTTTGGGGTATGCAGGACCTCCAACAGTGACAGATGAAAACCAAGCACTTGGTACCACTCTCTCTGCAGTGGTTTGAGGGTTAGGCATGCAGACATCCCCAGTGCTCTCACCATTATATCAGCAGTGCCTAAGTATTTTTGTATGATAGCGTGTGTAGGAATTTTTTAATAATATGTGGCCATTATTTTTAAGTTGAGAAGACTTTTTAGTCCCAGCTGGGTGTTTGGAAGCCAGACCCAGTACACATCAAACTGTATGGCTCTGTATTTGAAAATGGCAGGCTCGCGAGGTCAACCTGAATCTCTGTCCCTGCCAAACTTCCTGACAAACCCAGGTGTCTGGGGCTGTCTTGCAGGTTAAATCTGAGCAATGTTCAGCCATGTGTTCTGTAATACAACACTGCTGAGTCTGCCCAACCTAAGATGAATCCTGGTCTCCCACTCATCTGAGAGCTGAAGAGACCACTGCCTGACTCATGGGCCTGTGTGCTGCAAACTCCAGAGATGTTAAAAAACCTTTTAGTTATTGCCATCTAAGGGACATTGCAAGCCAGGCAGCAATCCAAAAAGCAAGGAACTCTTTCCTACTTGAACAGAGGCACTTGAACTCTGACTGCTACATGGAAATGTCGGTCTGCTCCAGTTGCACTGTATAAAGCAAGGTTGAATGTGTTACCCTGTTCAGGGTAGCAACAGCACTGACACCTTGTAGTCCATCCAGCCCAAGCTCTTGCCTCTCCACAAGCTGGCTTTCTTCTCCTCCTTGGCAGGCAGAACCTGGCTCACTCCTGTCTCCCCTTGGGCAGGTATTATTGCAGTTACATTAGCTGGAGAAAGCAAGCCCCTTGTCTTGGGGTGAGCCCACCTCCAAGGCTGCTATGGTTGTGAGGAAAGCTGGACAGAGTCACCACCACAGGTATCAGCAGGAAAATGGCAAGCTTCCAGACAACCTAGGGTTCTCCCATACCTTAACTAAGTTCAATGGGATTGCAGTGCAGGGGGAAGCAGAGAGACCAAGATGAGGAACAGGGAAGGAAAAAAGGTTGTACTGTAGACCTAAAAAACCCCACTGTTGCCATATTTCTATGAATTATCCCTCTGCCTCCAAGCGATTGTTGCCAAAAGAGCTCATTTCTTGGTGTCCACTTTATTAACCTGTGCCACATGGGTCAACCCCTTGTCTGACCTCCTCTCCTTGCAGGTGGTCCAGTATCACCATCAGCAATGAGAGACCAGGCAGGTGCTCCAAGGCCATGACAAGAGCTGGGCAGCTGGAGAGCCAATCCTCTAACATGTCCCAGAGGAAAAGCTGTGGGAGACCAAGAGCTTTCCACTGCTCCTCATGCCTCAGAGGTGAGCTGTGTTTAGCAAGAGTGCATTGCACAGCACTAGGCACAGGTGCATGACTACAGAGGCATGAGGCAAGCTTGGCTGGCGTGCCTGAGGCAGGCTGTGCACAGAGACAACTCACAGGCACCCCTGGGTGTGACAGTGGTGGGCAGCCCTCCACCAAGCCCCAGAGACACAGCTGCCAGCAGCCTCTGCCCCCAGGCACAAATGCATTTGGAGGTAGAGAAGCCTTCTTCTTGGGCTTGTTAAAATTAGTTTTATGACACAGATGCAGTTTCCTGGGGCTTCAAGGAAACCCCTGAGGAAACTGGAGCTTCACCTGCAACCTTTATCCAAAACTTCCACTAAGAAGGCAGCCAGGTCCTGGAATTTCAACCTTGACCTGGTGTTCCTCAGCACATCCTAGAAACCTTGTAATTTAGGTGTGACCTATCTAGGTCTGAGGTATTCAATTATCACTGCCACAGACTTTGCTCCATGCTCTAAGCAGTTTTGGAAAGGCGTCTGTTGCTCTCGTTGTACCAAAAACCCCTGTGTCCCTCCTGAGGCACATACTTCTTACTCTTCCTGACACACTGGTCACAAGCAGTACAACGGGTTGTAACTTCTCCCCCCTCCTCTCCCCTCACACACCCAAAACACTCCTAACCCTCATGGGAGTCCAGCTGAGCCTGCCAGAGCCCAGGAGAAGCGGTAGCCTTGCCTCCCCCTGGTACCCCACAAGCTGCAGACAATCTATTATTTCCATGCCCTTGAAGCTTTCTTGACCTCCCCTCACTTCCTTTACTCTCAGTACATCTGAGATCCTCAGCACAACCGTGGGAGACAAAAAAGAAGCTCCTTTCTGCAGAGGCTGGCTTCTGCCCTTGTGTTTTGGGTGATAACCTCATGCAGGCTTTGAAAGGACACTCTTCTGGCAACAGTTCCCAGATTCAAATGGGATTTAGGGTCTGTTGTGCACCCCTCAGACATATTGAGCTGGTCAATCTTTTGAAGCCTTCACACCCTGTTTCTATATATCACTGGGACAGGATTTCAGTGGCCTTACAGATTAATTTCCCGTTCTTAGCCTGGCTCTACTCCATCTCTAGCCAAAAAACCCAATGGATAAGAATTCACTTGGCATTGCCCAACACAAACCAGGTGGCATTTTGATTGCCTTGTGTTTTGTGCTAGCTGTCAAACACTGTGACAAAGGACAAACATCCCTGTGAGCATCATTGGCTTTACACCCTGCTCCTGGAGGTTTCTCAGCATGGTGGTGGGGCTTGCATGGTGGGGCTTCGCATCACCCCTTGCCACCTCCCTTTCCCTCAGCGTCCCTGCTCAGGGCGTTGCATTCTCATGCCCTGGTGCAAGGAGGCAGAGACAAAGGATGCGTTTGTTTTGTGACTCACGGGGTCTGCCCCACTCGAGTTCAGCTGAGCAAACCTGGCTGTTAAGCAGCAGAATCCTCCTCCTAGCCCGCACAGCCCCGGGGCAGGAGCCTGGGCACCTCCCCTCCTGTCCCAGCCCAGCTGGAGAGCATGTCTCTGCAGGCAGCAGCAAGGTGCCCGGGCTAGCCCTGGGGTGCTGATGGAGGGAAGTCACCCAGGTGGAACCGCTGCCAGAGATGCTGTGCCAAGGCCAGTGCCAGTGCCATGGGAAGCCTCCGTGAGCCACAGCCCTGCCCACACCCAGACCGCCTGCAGACCCTGATGCATCAGCAATACACTTACTTTTGGGGTTTTTTTAAATTGGTTATGATGGAAAATTTTTCCCCTAAGGGGCTTAAAAAGAAGGTATTTACCAAGGGCTTGGGACACCTCAAGAATTACACAGTTTTTAAGAGGAAGTAATTTAATATGTTAATGATGAATCGCTTGAACTCCACTGTAAGAAGCTGAATGTTTTACAAATGTCAGTTCATCATTTGTTTACTTATTTCAAAGCAAACATCTCCAGTGGACACAAACTCATGCACTCCTCCTGCCCTGCTGGACTTTCCCCAGTGCTCCACCTCTGACAGAAAACTTCTTGTGTGCTAGGAGTCAACCACACTCAGAAATGGAAGAGGCAGACAATTATTTTGTGCTACTAGAGGAGAAAAATAAAGCAAAAACATAGCTCAGCATCAAGCAGGGGTCACAGACTAATTAAGTTTCCTTTCAAAGAGATTGCTATGAAATGAAGCCTGTGTGAACAGCCTGTGTGGCTGGTAAATCATCATCAAGCATAATTACCTTGTAAGTAGAGCTGGGAGGTAGGTTTTTCCTCTCTCCTTTATTAATTCAGCACAGCCAAAACAAGCAGTTTTTTTTAACTTTCCTATTTTCACAAGTGAGGGGGAACTACAAGATTTGTCTTCCTCTACAACAATTTTTCCTTTTTTTTTCTTTTAACACTCAGATTTACAACAGATTTAATTTTTCCATTCCCTTCTCCCCAGTCTTTAGGAGAAAAAATATGAAACAAATTAAAATAGCCGTAGAGAAGACACAGCCTGAGGTAAGAAAAATGAAATACTTAATAATTTCAT